TTTACTGCGTGGATGTTATAGTTCCGAAACAGACTTCCATCAGGGAATATAACTGGTTTCGGGAACATGCGGTTCTACTTTTCCACAAAATCGATTAGACAGACACCTTACCCTGACAGATTTGGTAAACATAGGGACTATGAGCCAAATCATACAGACATCTTCACAAGACATCGGGCAATAAACAATTGCCATCGTTGGTTTTTCTTCATATTAGGCGCTCAAGGACTCCAAGTCCTTCGATTTCGTGTTCAGATTCCGAGTATCGCTTGAGTGACTTGAAGGCAGTTGCGACTTGAAGGCAGTTGTGAATTATCTGTGCACTGCAGCATGTTATACCCACGGATTTGAGATCAACTGTGCTGTTCTGTTTGTTTGCTAAAACTTCGTATATAACAGGTCATTATCATCTGCATACTCAGTACCTTATTAACCAAACGACCGCTATTCCACGTCAATATGTGTTCATCATGGTCTCATTAAGAATTCGGTGTCAGTGGAATATTCACTTGAAACATTACAATGTTCGAATGAGGCTGGACTTTTGAGACAAAATATATAACAATACAAATGTCAACGTATGCCTATAGTGTCTTGGCGCACCCAGTGTATGCATGCTCTGTGTGGAAGGGCCCAGTGCGCTAATAACACTAGATATGTGTGTGTGTGCGGGGGGGGGGGGGGGGGGGGGGGAGGTTAGAAGCCGCCTGTGCTACATCAACATGTACACATATTCACACAATTGAGCAGCACAGCGTTAAAATAACAGCCATCGAGCTAACAAAAATCAATGTTGCTTCCTAACACAAAATTGTACACCACTCCGCGAGGTACTGATTTCATTTACACCGTATCAGATCCAAAATCGATGACTTGTTTTCCGTCATTTTGGACAATTATGAGACATGATTGTCGTGTTTCCCTAACCTCGACTTTCATGCATCGGCTGTTTATCAATAACCACTATGCATGCAATGTCTTGGGTCAAATATTCCAAATATGTTTATTGCATAATTTACATAATATTATCATCATTACCTGACGAAGATTAGGCTAGGCATGGTGTGAATTTCACAATGTTATAGTGGGGTGTTTTTGTCAAATTTACCCTGTCACTACGATCATTATTAACGCTATGTTGAGTTTCTACGATCAACTGACATATATCCTGTTATGTGTGGTTCATTTTGATAACTTCAAATTGGAAACTGCGTACCTGCATACAGATAGCTTAAATAAATATTTTCTAAAATGAATTCTGTACCATGTGGAACTTTCATGGGAAAATAATGATAAAATAAACAACCAAAAACATTAGCATTGTTCTGAGAGTAAAAATGCGACGGGCCAAACTAGGATTCGAAGCCTGGTCCTCCTATCAGAATGGAGTCGCTCTTTTCACCTGTAAGTGCTTTATGTACCTGGTTTCCAACAGGGATCGAACCTGGGGGCCAACACACTATTAACCAAAATCACAACAAACGTTCATTGGGAACCGTTCGGATCGTGTACTGCGAACCCCACCTTAGAGTATCGAGTTAAAGGTATATTTCAGTCAAAACAGAATCATGTTCAATTGAGCACCTGGTGAAGACATGGGACTATTATCCGTCAGTTTACTAATTATTTATTGTGTAGAGATTGGCACGATTCCAAACAATATTTCTATATATATAATATATCTTTTATGTTATTGAAAACCAGTTTGAGTGTGCATTTGGTTGGTTTTTTTTGTTTGATTTTCATTGCCGTTGTTGAAACAATGTTCAAGTAATGGTAGTATAAAGCTTAAAAATACAAAATAGATAATAACATACATCTTGATAAATATCAATATTTTAGTATTCGCCACATTGTACGCGCCACTGCTCTATCGTGTTGACTTCGCCGTATTCCCCGTCTGGTCTTTACAACCTCACTTCCGACAAATCTGTCGAAGACACAATAAAACGGTCTACAATGAAATGATTTCGATGACAGCTGCAACTTGTGATGTGAACATCTCCATTGTCCACGTATCATACATAGAAGACTGGTAGTAGATATATTTCGCACCCAATGATGATGAACAGTTATCGTCGTTGCTGCAAATTTAAAGCTTCAAGCTACACTTCATTGACGGATTGCATTGCAGTGACAATCACCAGCGTGAAGTTGGTTACTTATTCAATATTGGGCTAGCCCAATATTGAATAAGTAACCAACTTCACGCTGGTGTGACAATCTGTGGGCAAACACGTCAAATGTCAATTCCAAAATAAATGTAGCTTTTATATAAATGTTTTGTCAGAACTTAAATATTTATAATTTATTTTCAAAAAAACGACGTTTCGGTACAGTATGGATTCACCTGTGCGACATGGTAGGAACTAAAGAGGGTGGGACTTATACGACATGGTAGGAACAAAAGACTACAGGGTTGTCAACGGTTAACCGGTTACTTGTTCGGAAGACCACGAACCTGTTACCGAAATCAATATCCGAACAGTTGGACATTTATTTACCCCTTTTGGGAGCCCCATGTTTCCCTGATGCAAAAAAAAAAAAAAACGTTTTGTAAGGAAAACAGTGTTCAGGCTGACACATTAGTGTTATTTTTGTACTTTATTGTAAATATTGAGTAGGAGATGCCACCAGCACCATGAAAAAAAACTAAACAGAATTTTATAGGAAACCAGAATACAAATTTGTGAAATATCATTTTTTAATGGTAGAACTCGCTTTTACATGCGATATGTAAATATAATCTGAAGAGTACACACTTGAATGAGCAAGCATGTAATAAAAACAGTCATATTGTGTTCTAATAAAGCACCATATTACCGCATATAACTTCGAGTACATATAACTCTATTTGAATTCCGTCTTACTGTATTCCGACATTTGTTGTCCAGGAAATATACTTATTGAGGTTACATGTAACTATTTCCTACGTTTAGCTTCGAATACGCGAGAACACTATCATGTTAACTAATATACGTTTTCAATAGAACACTATCATGTTAACAACTATTCAATTTTCAATAGAACACTTGCATGTTAACAAATATTCAATTTTCAATAGAACACTTGCAATACATATAACGTAGTGTCGTTGGTTATTATCTGATTACCATATTGACCGGTTATCCGGTTACTCGACCGGAAGATTGTTAAAGTAACCAGTTACCAAATTTTGACCGGTTTGACAACCATCTCTAGTCCATAACCAACAGGTACCAACAACAGAGCTTAGAAAATATCTAGATATCGTTAGGTCGAAATCGGGCTCGACACACGAATCAAATCTATTGTGACCGTTCCGTTGTTCACAACAACAATGCGGATACAGCTTCTCTACCTACGCTAGCGACTAAAATCATACCCCCGTGGTGGTCTCCATGATGATTTTATACCCTCTAATGACCATTTTATTTATATTGGAGCATTATGAAATAAATGATCGGGTTGGCTCTTTTTTGGAGAGTAGCCAATCAGCTCGCTTGTTTCATTTTGGCTGGGAGAGGTATCTTAGAAGATCAGTATGGTTAAGATCACGTCGGAGTATTCAGTGGCAATATGTTGTCTTCTTCCTGACAATTTATCAAGCCTTGTTATGATAAGGGATTTATAAGTACCTCGAATATAATTGGATTTGATTTGTTAGCTTAAAGGTCATTGTTACTTCCTCAAAAACAACATTATAATCACGAGGACGGCAATGTGTTCTGTCCCCAGGCCGGGACATACCAAAGTCCTTAAAGATGGTGGTTTTTATTCCCTGTTCTTAACGTTCAGCATTTAGGATAGAGGCAACAACTGGTTCACCCGTTTTCAGCATAACGTGATCGGATGGAATGCTGGGTGCCTTCGGCATGGTATTTCAGTGAGATAACACTTTAAAGTCGGCATTAGATCCGAGCTATAACAAGAAGGCAAACAAACCAACAGACCCTGCCTCCAGCACACATACACACATGCACGCGTACACACAACACACATGGAAGCACATCCTTAAATGACCTTTGCTATTGATAGGACGTTAATCCATGTAAAAACAACCATCGCGTATACAGTGAAAGGAACTAACATGAAAAACTACAGAACTCACATACCCAGCAAGGTCCCTGTAAGTGTTTGTCTTTTTAGCGGCTTAAAGCCAAGTATATCATAACGCCGTTATGTAATACATTTATTACACCATCAGTAAACTAGCTGAAAATCATAAAAATTTACTACACGCTGAGCGCGAACACTCGTCATGGGCACTTGTAACGCTGGGAGGTGGTTAGTCTGGATCTTTACCGTGCTTACTTCGACCCATCTACCCCGAGCTAGGACGGGTCGAATCAATCGCGGAGGAGAACCAGACCTAGAGCGGTAATGGTCGCGTATATGACTACGACTTATCAAAACCATCTGTGGGAGAACAGTCTACGACCGTATGAGAGAAGCAGATTGAGGTTGTTTTGAAAAAAAGGATTTGGAAGATTTCTAAAAAGATTCCTAAAATTAATTCATGTACTAAGAAATAAATCCGGTTCACCAGATACTATACCGCGCAATTGTACATTTGTCAGCCATTTTCCGAGGTCAGTCTGGTTTCGGTTTAATGATTCACCATATCCCCTTTCCATCTGTCTAGCCACTCCTCACGGCACTGCACTCTTTAAACTAATGAGTCGACAGTCAAAATAGAATAATATTTACGTTCTTTGTCTATTTCCCACGCATCGTTCTGTACTCCACCATCCATTTACCGTTCTTATAACTCTCAAGCCTTTATGTGCCCCATGAAATCCATTCTGTGACTCCTCGTTCGTTCTCTCCTAAAGTGCGCGTGCACACATGTATACGAGTATCTGTACAGGCTACCTTATCAATCAAATCGACAGCGATCAATTATCGACTGTATAAAACGTCCTGTTTTAATGCTCATATATACAAGGTTTTCTCGAACAATTCTAGATATGCAAAACAGAATTCAACATTCCTGTATATAAACTTATTGAATCACTTACCTATTTGCCTTGGAACTGTCGGGCACCTTCCCGTGCGTCAGCCTTTGTTAGACTGTACGCCAGGTAGCATGCTCTGTGCTAAGACTGTAAGCCGGATTGTTTAGGCTGCGTTACGTGTGAGTACTATTCACGTGTCCTGTCACCTCTGAAAATCACTGGCTTGTAAAAGTTGATTGCAAATACGTTATGTTATGAACGTTCTGGGTTATGGTGTAATAATGGGAAAGATCAGACAGTTCTATACTATTTTACCCCAGACCACGATTCTTAACAATACCATTGAATTTAATTTGAATGTGTGCCAGCTCAAAGTACAATAAATCTTCTATTCTGTCTGGTCCGTTTAAATCACAATGATTTAAGCAAGCTAGGGCGCGTTGATTATCTGCACACTGACAAAAGTTCAATGAATTCTTGAATGATTAAACAACTCAAATTTATCGTATAGATCTTATTCTTCTAAAGTCCAACCATCCTATTTGTCCTATATCGATCCCATCGTGTTTAATTCCCATCAGGTCGTATTAGTCCCACCCTCTTTAGTTCCCACCATGTCTAATAGTCCCACCCTCTTTAGTTCCCACCATGTCGTATTAGTCCCACCCTCTTTAGTTCCCACCATGTCGTATTAGTCCCACCGTCTTTAGTTCCCACCATGTCGTATTAATCCCACCCTCTTTAGTTCCTACCATGTCGTATTAGTCCCACCCTATTTAGTTCCCACCATGTCGTATTAGTCCCACCCTCTTAAGTTCCCACCATGTCGTATTAGTCCCACCCTCTTTAGTTCCCACCATGTCGTATTAGTCCCACCCTCTTTAGTTCCAACCATGTCGTATTAGTCCCACCCTCTTAAGTTCCCACCATGTCAGATATGTCCCACCCTCTTTAGTTCCCACCATGTCGTATAAGTCCCACCCTATTTAGTTACCACCATGTCAGATAAGTCCCATCCTTTATAGTTCCTACCATGTCGAATACGTCCAACCCTCTTTAGTTTCCACCATGTCATATAAGTACCATCTTATTTAGTTCCCATCTTGTCAGAAAAGTCCCACCCTCTTTAGTTCCTACTACGTCATATAAGTAGGGAGGCTGGGATCTACTTGTATAAAACTTGATGGGAACTACAAGAATGATATCTTAAGGACATGGTGGGAATACGAAGAATAAACCTTAACGACATGGTAGGCACTAAAGCGGGTCGGACTTCAACATCTTGGTGAAAACTAAAAAGGATGGGACTTAAACATCTTGGTGGGAACTAAAGAGGGTGGGACTTATATAACATGGTGGAAACTAAATATGATAGGACTAATACGACATGGTAGGCACTAAAGAGGGTGGGACATTAACGACCTGGTGGAAACTAAAGAGGATGGGACTTAAACATCTTGGTGGGAACTAAAGAGGGTCGGACTTATACGACACGGTGGGAACTAAAGAGGGTGGGATTTATACGTCATGATGATAACTAAAGAGGGAGGGGCTTATATAAAACATGGTGGTAACTAAAAAGGATGGGATTTATACAACATGTAGGGAACTAAAGAGGACGGGACTCATACGTCATGATGATAACTAAAGAGGGATGGGCTTATATATAACATGGTGGTAACTAAAAAGGGTGGGATTTATACAACATGTAGGGAACTAAAGAGGATGGGACTTATATGACATGACGGGAACTAAAGAGTGTGGGACTTGTACGAAATGGAGGGAACTAAAAAGGGTGGGATTTATACAACATGTAGGGAACTAAAGAGGATGGGACTTATATGACATGACGGGAACTAAAGAGTGTGGGACTTGTACGAAATGGAGGGAACTAAAAAGGGTGGGATTTATACAACATGTAGGGAACTAAAGAGGTTAGGACTTATATGACATGACGGGAACTAAAGAGTGTGGGACTTGTACGAAATGGAGGGAACTAAA